TGATGATGGGTGTCTGAGGGGGCGGAGCCTGAGGGGGTGGGGCTGCATGGTTGGGGAGGGGCATGAGGGACCCTGGCTTCCCCGCAGGGGTGGGGCCTGAGGCCCTAGAAGTTGGAAGTGGGGGGCCAGAAGGCACCGCTGAGGTCATCGCCAGGGATCCTGGTTTTCTCTGATTTAAAAAAAAAAAAATCCCCAATTTTCACGTTAAAAAAAAGAACCCAAAATCCACATTTTTCCTTGATCAAAATGAAACCTCTCTCTCTCTCTCTCTCTCTCTCTCTCTCAAATTAGGTTATTATTAGATTAAATTAGGCCAAATTCAGTTAATTGGTGGCCGTCTACCCGCAGGCTGGATTGAATGTGTTGGCGGGCTGCCCTGCCCTGGGTTAACACACAAGCTCCCGCTTGCTTGAACGGGGCAGCTAATTCCCTTTGTCATCACCCTGCAGACCGGGTTGTCTGCTTCTGCATTGATTCCCGCTTCATTCCTGACCCGGAGATGTCGCAAGAGCTGCCAAACCTGGCGAATTTCCTGCTTGGAGTCACCGAGGGGTTCGGTGATGCGTTGGGTCTGCTCACCGGCAGCGTTAGGGGCTAACTGCTTTTCGTTCCTTTTACGAGGGTTTCTGCGAGAGGATCTGCCATTGCCTTTGAGTGGCACGTAGAAAAGCCAATGGGATTCCCCCCCAATAGAGGTTTTGAGGCTGGTAAGGGGGTTCGTCGACTAGCGTGGGATTCACGTGACTTCTCGCTGCCGCTAATTTCGATCTCTTTCCTTTTTCTCCTCCCTGCCACAACGGGTGCAGACGACAGAGGGAGGAGACGGGAAAGACGCCGGCTCTGATGAGCAGCAGGAGAAAAAGAGGAAGGAAAACATAGCCTATGCCAAGAAGGTCGTGCTGCGGCTAGCAGGGCTGATGGGAGCCGGGAGCGGGCTAGCAATTATCTATGTCTTCGGTAAGTCCCGGCCGTACAGGCTGAGGTGACTGTATAGGAGCTGGGTGGACACGGCCTGTACCACCCACCTTCCGGAGCTGTAGTTTGGGTTTCCGGGGGCTGGTGGGGGGCTGCAGTCAAGCAGAGAGCGAGGACACAGGTGGTTGTTAGAAGGAGAGAGCTTCAGCTCTGCTGGGCAGCCGTCGGAAAGGCAGACTCAGGGATTATTAAGAAGGGATCGGGGAACAAAGCCGGAAGTATCACAGCGCCCCTTTATACACCCCTGATGCACCCACGCCTCCAGTACAGCGCCCAGTTCTGGTCCTCGCACCTCCAAAAGGAAATAGAAGAGCTTGAGATGGTCCAGAGAAGGGCAGCAAGGTTGATCAGTGCTATGGGGAGAGACTAACGAGGCCAGGCCTGGTCTGTTCAGAAGAGAGATTCACAGAAGTTTAGGGCTGGAAGGGACCTCGTGAGATCATCGGGTCCAGCCTCCTGCTCCGGGCAGGAAAGTGTACAACATGGAGACAGGACGAGGGCTGACCACGTGTGAAGGGGTTAGAGAGAGTCAACAGAGATCTGTTCTGGGCTGTCTCCCCCCAGACAAGAGCAAGGGGTCACGGCATGCAAGGAGCAGGCCGGCAGTTTAAAACGACACCAGGCCATTCTTTTATAGATGGTAGCTCTTCCATCCAGCGTGGGATGAAAGTGGGGAGTGGAGCTCGTGGGCACCAGATGTGGGGGAAGCGGAGAGTTTAGCCAGGTTCACAAAGGGCCTGGACCCGTTTTTGGAGGAAAGGGGCATCGGGGGCTATTGAGCATGGCAGTGAGGGGCACGGCCTCTATATCGGGACGCCCTGGACCTACAGAGCTGGAGGCTGCAAGGAAGAGAAGAAAAGCCCTGCTCAGACCCAGCCACTCTCCCTTCCAGCAGTTGTACGTAACCCTCGCCACAAATCGCTGTCTTGTTCTGTTGGACTGCCCGGCTGGGTTTCTAGCATGACGCCACGAATTGTGTGTGTGGCTACACGCGTGTGTATCTACATACGTATGTACATGCATACACGCAGACACGTATACAAGGGCATTTCCGAAAGTAGTGGCAGTTTCAAAATAAAACCACTGTGTGTGCAACAAGGGAGAAACCACCTAGCAACAGGGAACACGGATGCCCCCACTGACACGCTGCTTACAACTGCATAGAGAAGGATGGTTTGGACAGGGCTGGTCCTGCCTCAGGCAGGGGATTGGATTGGATGCAGCGTCCGGAGGTCTGTTCCAGCCCCGCTTCTCTCGTGTTTTTAACCCTGTGGATTCCTTTTAGACCCAGAGGGTTCAATCTCGTGTATTGTGTTGGCGCACACAACAATGCTTACGTGGCCCCAGCAGCCCAGAGAGGCTCTCGAGGCACCCCGGGGTGCTCCTGGGCTCCTGGTTGAGCATCACAGCTCTCCAGCCCTTAGCTATCTGATTTTAGGTTGGAGGCTTCACACTTGTATCTGTGTGGCAGCCACCTGCTTTTCCTGACCTCTGCAGCCATTCGTGATGACATGGTGACTGATGTGGCTTTTCTCTCCCATTTCACAGGCAGCAACTCCTTGGATGAGCATGGGGCTAAGGTAAGGAGCTTTCTGCTTCCTTTGCATTTTGCTTCTTGATGATAAAAGAGGATTTTGTGGGGTCACAGAGAAAACCAGGATCCCTGCTTAAGAGATCGAAATGCTGGTGGGAGACAGTGATTACGCATCTGTGCTGTCTAGCCTCAGCTTCCATTAAAACAGGCTTTTGGTACCTTGCTCTCGCTGCTGTTTTTCCCTCTGATCCCTGCGTCTCAGTGCAACCTGTTAGCGCCAGCCCCTCCTTCCCAGTCTCATTTCCTTTCTTAGAGGGTCTTAAAACGCTGCTCGTTGTGTGGGTTGAAAATGCATGTAACATTTATAAGCAGCTGAGTGCTCCTGTACAGTGGGTTTTTTTGGTGGAAGTGGTGTTTCTGCTTGGAGAACTGGGTAGAAACCTGTCGAGCCCTTTCTGGTAGCATTGGGGAGATGTAACCAGGATGCTTTGCATTGGAAAGTGTGTCTAGGTCTCTCCCTGTTGTATTTCAAGCACTTGGCTGCCAACTGGTGCAGTAGACTATAGAGCAGTGGGGCTGGAAGGGAGCTCCAGAGCTCGTATCCAGTCCACCCCCTGCCTGAGGCAGGATCAGCCCTGTCCAAACCACCCCAGACACATCCGTCATCTACACTTTACATGAGACGACTGTCAACCCTGACATAGCACAGACCTGGCACCCAAACTTGCCCCAGGGAAAGCAGGGGGACCGCTGCAGCCAATGTCCCGCTGCTATGAAATGTTGTCAATAGATGCTCGAGGGATCCCAGGTAGAGGGCCCACCCCCTGCTACAGAGGAAGGCAACCCCCCTCCCCCCAGCAGTTCATATTAATCTGAGCATGGCATAAAATTCCTTCCTGGCCCAAACATGGTGTTGGGCTGAGCCTGAGCAGAGGGGCAAGACCCTCTAGCCAGGACGCTCTGGATTTGGTGCCAGCAGGAGCATTGGCACAGCCCAGTTGCCGTCCCCTGCAGCCAGCACGTTTGGGGGAGGCTTAAAAACCCCCTGATACATGGAGCAGAAGGATGGTGGGGAGCAACCAGCAAAGCCCAGAGGCCTGGGACACCCCCGTAGCAGAGCACAGGCATCACTGAGCCTGGATCACCCCGACCAGTGGCTGTCCAGCCTCTCCTTGAGCCCCTCCAGGGATGGAGAGTCTGCAGCTTCCCTGGGTGTGTCTGTTCCATTGCTTCCCTGCTCTGACAATGAAGAAGTGTTTCTGGATATCCAACCCAGGCTTACTTGCTGCAGCTTCAAGCCGTGGGTCTGCGTCCTCCTCTCTGCAGCAAGACAGAAAAGCTGCTTTCGTTCTTCTTACAGCAGCCCTTCAGGTATTTGAAGCCTGCTCTCGTGTCTCCTCTTACATACTTTTTCTGCCAGCAGAACATGCCCAGGTCCTTCAGGCTTTCCTTGTAGGACTTGCTTTCCAAGCCTTTGATCATCTTTGTTGCCTCTACACCCTCTCTATCTTCTCCACGTCCTTTATAAAATGTGGAGCCCAAAATGGCACGTGGTATCCAGACGAGGTCTGACCAAGGCTGAGCAGAATCATAGAAAATGAGGGCTGGAAGGGGCTTCAGGAGGTCACATCTAGTCCAACCCCCTGCTCCAAGCAGGACCAGCCCCAACTGCATCATCCTACCCAAGGCTGTGTCTACCTGGGTCTTCAACACCTCCAAGGATGGAGACTGCACCACCTCTCTAGGTAACTTGTTCCAGTGCTTCACCACTCTCCTAGTGGGAGAGTTTTTCCTAATAACTCTGCTTTCCCATAGCACTACCATCCAGCCAGGTGGCCCGTGTTTGGTATTTGTGCTTTTGATTACCCTCCCGCAGTGAAACATCTTGCATTTGTCTTCAGGGAACCTCAATAAAAGAGATCACTCCAAAAAAATCCCCCATCCATTTCTGGGAGTTCACCTTGCAGGCTCTTCTCTTTCCC